TAGTTCTGAATTCAAAGTGTATGGAGTATCTTGATAAAATGTGTTGTATAATAAGTTTGGTGGTGTTATTTATTTTTAATGCGTTAGATGTGTTCATTTGAAAATGTAGTAGTTATGAATCTGATGTACAGTGATGTTGTGATAGTTTAAACTAATGTTTCTCTAATCGATGAATTAGTAAGTTCAGAATACATTGGAGCACACGCAAGAAGTTGTTCTTCGGTTAACCTTATAATAAGGTGTAGGAGGTCAGTTAGTTTATGTATAATAATTGTTTCTGATGTTGGTAAGTTTAAATCTTTATTTATTTGGGAGATGCAAAATCGTTGAATTGTTAAAGATTGAATTATAGTTAATCTTTTGTGATTAGAATATTCCCAGATTATGTTTGTGATAAATTCAATTATATCATAATGATTGTGGAATAGAGTATTTTCATAAATTTTTATAGTTCTTCTTAAGACAAATTTGACTGTTTTTATAAATTGTTTTTTGGAGGGTTTGGTCATTTAAGTGTTTAATCATTAAATACTTTTATGGTAGTATGGAATTTATTTATTTGTTTAATCGAGAGTTGCTTCTATTTCTATGTTGCCAAAAATGATATATTTTTGTGGAATGTATTTGTATATTTGTTGTATTGTATGAGATAATATGAAATCTAATGCGAGTGTGAGTCTATGAATTATTATTCTCTCTGTGATAGGAGATGTTAGACTATCTCGTAAGTATTGAATAATAAATCTGTAAAGAATTATTGTATGTGTTTGTTTGATGTTATTTTTAAATGAGATATTCCATAAAGTATTCGTAATAATGTCTAATGTTTTAAAAAAATTGTGGAAAGTTCGATTTTCGTATTCAATTATTATTTGTTTTGTTAATTCTTTGATTATAAATAAAAAATCTTGTTTAGAAGGATATGACATTTAAAATAATTTCAATGTTTTAGTGTTTGTATTTAAATATATTTTTTAACAATAATATAATTGGAAGGAAGAATTATTATGAGTTTAGCAACGGCTAATTCAAATATGATGTGGCTTGGAAACGAGTTCTTAGTTGGGCGCCAAATTGTAGTAATAAAAATGGGTAGCTATAAATATGGATAGGAGGGGTAATCTGTGATGTCTTTATGAAATTATTTGTAATATATGTATGTGTGCTTTTAAATGTATCCTACTCTTCCATATCCTATTACTACAATAGTATGCTAGTGTTAATAAGCTTTCACGTACCTTATGGCTCAGCTATAGAGTGGAAATGCGTTGTCTCGCTGTCCTCCGTTGTTCCTTTGTTGTCTGTAGTGACTGAAAATAGAAGTCCCGTACGACACGCACTTACCGAACTCGTTAGTTTCTAATAGATACCGAAAGTTTTACTTAATAACACGCGTACTACTAGGTGTAATGTATTAATGATCCGGTTTGGAGTGTATTCCTGTTCGTCCAAATAAAGTTACCCTTTTCAGATATGTTTTTAAGCGTTTTTAACTTGGTGATCCTCTAGCATGCTACGTGATAACTAGTCAGAGGACTACACAAATTCGTTTAGAAGATCAGACTACTAGGCTGCGATATTTAGAAGCAACAGACCTTAAGGGTCCATATTTAACCTCACTAAACAGCCGCTACTCTAGTTGTCTTCCCTTAGCTAAACACTAATTAATTAACTACTTAACTACTTAAATTTTCCAATTGCTGACGAGAACATCCAAATTCCAAGTGAATAATTTAATTCAAAGGAATTGGATCCCTAGAGCTGCTTTACGCTTCTCAAGAGAATTAAATGAACCAGGTCAGTCTCTCGGACTATGTTAAGATAGCTAAATTAATAGACGAGTTATTAAATGAAACAAATAAATAAACACAATGTTTTGTTGTGCATAGGACTTGGAACATACACTGAGTCAAAACCATAAACAATTACGAAAAGAATCGGTTAACTACGCACACCCTGCCTTAACAATTAAATAATTGATAAGTTGCAGACGATTGTAGCTAAGCGACTGAGCGGTGACAAGCCCGTCGTATTGTCTTATATAGGGAGTAAATGCGTCATTAGCAGGGGGTGAGGTATGAAATGTTTTCTAGGATAATCATCCAAGCGTATAATTGTATGGTATGAGTCAGCATATGTTATGTGTCATGTTTATTTTAGTATATCCTTTAATACTTTTATAAAATACTGTACTTGAAATAATATATAAATGATTGTGTGCGATATTATTATTTGTGCATATAATTGATCTTATATAATTGACAATTTTGATTAGTGCATATATTGAATTTAGTGCATATAATCTTATCATATATAGAGGTATTTTTAGTGCATATAATTTCATGTATTGTGTGTTGTGTATTATGTGTTATGATATTACATGTAAATGATTCAATGAGTACAATATAATCATTACAGCTGGCTTCACACCTTTCAGGCAGGCGACAGCAAGTTAGGATAAAAAATGTTATTTCTCCCGTTATCCATATCACCTCTGGAGTACCTCAAGGGGGGTATTTATCTCCATTGCTCTTCTTAATTTTCATGAATGATCTTGCTGATGTTTTCCATCACTTGATGTTTGTTTTTTGCCGATGATGTGAACATTTATACTAGTATAAGTTCAGTTGTCGATAGCCATAATTTACAAGAGGATTTATGCAGTTTTCATAACTGGTGTGTTGTTAATGGTTTATGATTGAATATATTATCTAAATGTTTTCAGATCACTTTTTGTCGTAAACGCTCATACGAACTATGTAATTTAGATGGTATTAATCTCATAAATGTTTCGCATATTAAAGATCTAGGTGTAATTCTTTCCTCAGATTTATCCTTTACTGAGCACATTTCAACTATTTATAATAAAGCACTACGGATGTTAGGTTTCCTCAAACGAAATTGCTGGGAGTTTTCTAATCCTATTTGCTTAAAAGTTTTATATTGCGCTCTGGTGCGTTCCATAATTGAGTATGGATCAATTATTTGGTCCCCATATCAAGCTAACCTTAGTAATGAACTTGATAAATTACAAAAACGGTTTCTACGTTTGCTGGTCGTGAAAGTGGGGAAATACGGTAAAGATGATGATTTAAATGTGGTTGCTCCAGATTTCGGAATTGCTAGTCTGGCTCAGCGACGGCAAATCTTTGATATTTGCTGGATACATGGGTGATTGAATAATAAAATTGATTGCCCAGAAATACTTGATATTATCCCTTTTAATGTTCCTTCAGTTCACCTACGCTCTCAATCATTATTCTATATTTCCCCTGTCCGACAAAACTACAATCTTTTTGCTCCGGTCAGCCGAATGCTAACGGAATGCAACGAAATTAGTCCTAAAGTAGACTTCTTTTAGCTTCGATGCAAAGCGAGAAGGTATTGGTTTTACTCTGATGTGTGTTTTTTTTTATCTGTATACACTGTAACTTTTTTAATACTGGACCAATTCCTTCGAGTAGCAACTCTATAAATCGCAAATTTCATCTAGTTGGTACTTTGGGGGGGTAAAAGTTGAAAAAGTTTAATTCTTCACAGACGAAAGTTGAAAAAAACCAGTACAGTGGGGTCGGGGCATAGTGGGGACGAGTTGGAGGTCACAGGTTTACAGGAACTTTTAAATCTGAAAGCTGATAAAATCACTTTCGAGAAAAACGCTTCGATGCAATCGTAGTTGAATATTTTCAAGGCAGTACAATCTGGAAAGCCAAGCACAGTGTAAGCTAGGAAAGTTAGAAAGTAATAAATTGAATCGGCCATTTCAAAACCGACTTAGGGGGGTCACCGATTTTTCAATACTGTCGGGTTTTTATCAATGTAATAATTGAATACTTTGGCTGACGTATTGCTGTGTGAAAACTCAATATGTCAGACTCATATTAATACAAACGTTGAGTACAAGAAATTCGAATCACTGCAAAATTATTTATGAAGTTTCTTGGGCTAGTGTGATATTTCAAATTTGTGACTTGTGTCGTATTTTTACAATGACTGATAAAATCTACAAAATAGAAGCATCAAAGCGTTCATTTGAAAGTGATTTTATCCGAGCGGACTAGTATAGTAGAGTATTGGCATAATGTAATCAAAGCAATGAGGAAACGGAGAGGTCACAGGTCTACAAGAATTATTATAAATAAAAGTGACAAAATTGAATAAAATCGCTTTCAAATAAACGCTTTGATGCTTCTATTTTGTAATTTTATCAGTCATTTAAAAAACGACACAAGTCACAAATTTGAAATATTACACTAGCCACAAGAATTTTCATAAATATATTTTGCAGTGATTCAAATTTCTTGTACTCAACATTTGTATTAAATATGAGTCTGACAAATTGAGTTTTCACACAGAATACGTAGCTAAGTATATAATTATTACATTTGATAAAAAGACAGTTTTGAAAAATCGGTGACCTAAGTCGTTTTTGAAATGGCCGATTCAATTTATTACTTTCTAACTTTCCTAGCTTACACTGTGCTTGGTTTAGATTGTACTGCCTTGAAAATACTAACTACCGATTTGCATCGAAGCGTTTTTTCGAAAGTGATTTTATCACTTTCAGATTTAAAAATTCCTATAAACCTGTGACCTCCCCGTCCCCACTATGCTCCGTCCCCACTATGCCCCGACCCCACTGTACTGGTTTTTTTTAACTCTGTAGTCATAATAAAGAGATCGGTTTTAAATAGTTAAATCATTTATACTGATTTATATGTACTTAATACTTATTGTATCCTCAAATACTTTTTGTAATGTTTTTTGTTTCTGTGTAATAACTTGTAAAATTTACTTTAAACTGTACTCTTGCCCTTTGGGGCGTCAAATTAGTAATAAATAAATAAATAAAAAGTTTATTAAGAAAATGCGCTTTTCAGATTATACATTTAATTTAAATGACATTATGTTGTTTTATTCAGAAATCTGAGAATATTTTACATAAGAAACTGATTTTTAAATGTAGAATAATATAATAAACATTTTAATTGGTCGATAACCAGTTTGAACAACTATTTATAAGAAGTTATAAGATTTTTGAAAGTTAAGGTAGAAGAGGATGTGCTTTTGGGAAGTGCGTGCAAATAAAAATAATTTACATTTCTGCCCTAAACTTAAAACTCTGATAACTTCAAAAATCCAAAACTGGTTATCGACCAGTCAAATCTTTAAGACATTATTCTTATCTTAAAAATTTATTAAAATGTATGCCTTACTATTTAAGTTACAAAAGTCGCTATAAAAAAAACTAAGCTGAGAGGGAGGTAAAAACAATGTTGTGAACTAAGTTGTGAACAATTGAGTTTACATTGTTTGAAAATATTATGCAATGAAAAATTTTAATTCCTTATTATACCCTATAAGATATTGAGTGAATCTCGATAAAACGACCACCCTGTAATATAATAATATATAAAATTAATACCTTAAATGTGTGCAATACATAATAACATTTTTATTTTGAATACATAATTGAAAAAAAAGTACAATACTACGTATAACTGCAGTACGTGATTTGTGAAAAAATAGATACATGATTTGGCCATTTTCCTTAACTTCGTTAATTTTTTACTACTAACAAATACATTTAAAAAACAATATTGTAATTTAATTGTGTATAATCGATTATACAAATTAGGGTGGACCAAACAATTGTTATTTTTTTTCTCTTCTTTTCTTGACATTATGTTCCTTAGGATAAATAAATACTTCCCAATTTTTTCAGATTTTGTAAATTTTTTTAAGAAGCAGCCAGGATTATTTTTTCCAAAAAAAAACATTTTTGTTCCATAGTTTTTAATTTATTTAAGGTAAAAGATTTAATTTTAAACAGATGTTATTGGTATAAAAACCATCAAAAGAAAAAGACGAATAAACTAGTTTTTATTTTTTTTTGTTGAACTAATTTAAGCCTTAGAATGTAAAATTGATAAATTAAACCGTAATAGTACCCTACAATATTTTTTTTTAAGGGTTAAAAATATTTTAAACTTATTCTTCATTTAATTGCAAAGAATTGTGATACACTTACATAGAACATTATTACTACAATAAATCAAAAAACATTAAAAAAAAAAAATCAAAATTTTTTTTGGCATTATCATTGCCCAGCGGATTTATATACTAAATAATATTTCAAAAATTCATTCGTCGGTGGCTATAGCATCCGATATATGTATGCTCACATTTATCAATATTTTCTTTATTCCTCTTTTTCTACTGATAATTTTTTCATACAAACAACACTTGTTTATAATTAATATTTCTACTTTAAAAAAAATTAAATTAAAAATTATGTAACAGATTTTTTTTAAATTGATGCTCGCCGCCTCTAAAAATAATTTTAAAAAACTGAAAAAATAGGGAAACACTTTTTACCTTAAGGAACATAATGTCAAGAGAAAAACAGAACAAAATATAAAAATAGACCACCCTAATTGACATGGTATTGTAAAAACGGAAATAATTTAAATAATAAAAGACGTGAAAGAGATTTAGAGAGTGCATCTAGTATAAATAAAATTAATGACCAAAAATGATTTGAGTGTAATGCTAAATAAATGATTTGGTCATTATCCCCATCATCAATGATCATCAATTTCCTTCGACTAGAATGCTTAATGCAAGATCATAGTTTAAAATCGTTAACTTTTCTTTTAACAAATTAAAGTTTTTGCCAAATTCTTGGAGAAATGACATTATCATACCATCGGTAAACTCTTCGTTTATGTCAACACTGATCCAATCGCGCCCATTTGAAGTACATCCATTTAACTCCACTAAAATTTCTTTGACTCTTACCGGTAATCTAGCAATAACGCTATCAAAGTTGTTATGGTGTTCATTTATTGCACTACGAACCTCTGCTACTACATCAAAAAAAAAAGTTTCCGTATAGAGCATAAACCTTTGTACCATATAAATTGTGTCCATAGCCTCCGCAAACAAAATGTTTTGTTGAAATTGACCCATTTTAGACATTTCTTTATTAAATATTACCAACATAACCCACAGAAAGATGTACATCCTTACACTGATAATTTGTTTAATCAACATGTGGTAACTAAGGTGTCCGAAAGGTTGCGATATCCATTGGCGATTGTTAATGTATTCCTTGGTTTTATTCACTTCGACTGCGTGCCTTCTTATCGTTGGCCTCCATTCTACGTCTGAGCCTGTTATTTCCCCAAACAGTAACTCGTGTTCATCCCATAATGGTTTTAGATACAAATAGTCGATCGATATGTATTGCATGATATTAACATAATCAAGTGCAATAATTCTAGACGCGCGAAGTTCTTGAAATATGTTATTTGGTACATTTAAATTGTTCGACATCAAATCGTACTCTGCTATATTATTGGGAAGGTATTTGTTATTTTTGCAGTATTGTATAAAATTTGTAATACCGCTTTGTAATTCGGCTTGGTCGAAAGTGGTACCCTCAAAAAAACTGCTGTTGCTTTCGTATTCAATGATCGCCAGGATTTTTAAAAAAAAACTCCAAAACCATTTACCCGCTTTGACTTTGCCTTTTTGAAATAACAGTACCATAAAACCCGCTTCTTCTTTTAGTACTTTTAGTTCATCCCGTGCAACATCAATAGGCCCGCCTCTTTGCAACCCTTCCAGAATGTTCGATAAATACACCAGTTTTGTTTTCACAATTAAAGTGCAAGTACATTTAATGTCTTCGATTTTCTTGTCAAATTTATCAAACACCTTATGGCGACCTTTGGTATCGTTGTAATTTTGAACAGGAGATGTCAGAACTGTACGTTCATTATCACTAAACTTTATTTCTTGCTGGCTGTAGGTTTTTAAAATATTCACTGTATTATAGAATGGATAAGAGAATGTTTGACAGACGTAATATGACGGCGAAACCTATAAAACAAAAATATGTACTCATTTATATATAAAATATACATAGTTTTTTTTTGTTAGATTTATATACCTATCACCTTTCAACAAGATAAATTTACTAAAACTATTGACTTGTCGATAACCAGTTTTCAATAATTATTTTTTGTTTTAACTATTTATACAATTAACAATTATGTAAAATATTAAATTTTAGGACATATTAAACATTTTATTTAATAATAACTTTTAGCGTTTATCTAAAATCCACATTAGTTACACATTAACATGATATTCCTTATTCTCTCTTTTTCGAAAAACTTTTCATTGTCATTAAAGCCAAATGTACCATTAGCAGTTTTTTTAAATGTATTGTAATTCATACAACTAGTGTTTTGCATAATGCCCTTGAGAATAGACGGTACATGTCTACCTCAGTATCTTTTTCTTAAAACCTTCTTTTCTATAGTCATATTTAAAAGTTTTTCCCGTCCAAATAATTTTGTTTTTCTAGAATTTATGGCTTATGTGATATCCTTTTTTTCATTTAATTCTGCTGGTTTACTAAACTTAATTCAATACAATATGTCATCACAAATTATACTGCTAAAATAGTACTTTTCTCTACCTAAACCTTTTTTAAACAAATCAAAGGGCAGTGTTTTTGTTGTGATATATAAATAATAATTTTATATACTAATAGTTAACCTTCTAGTATTCAGACAATAAATGGGGTAAGTTAGCTGAAATTTGGATTTAATGCAACTGCTGGCTGAGAGTATCCAGCAAAGTTTTGGGACTTCCTAAATTAAGAGTGTAAAAACATACTTTTAAGATAGTGAAAAATAATTTATGCTTACTTTGTTTGTTGATTCAATCATCACAATATTGACTGATAGTATGAAATATAATGACAAAAAAATACAGTTGTGTTCGATCATTTTTAAAAAATTTTACCACACAAGAACAATTAGTCAAAATAGAATTATAGTAATGTGGCAAAGTAAGTATTTGAATGCTAGGAATAACGTTTTACATTGATGACCTATTATTGTTTCAGTTACTCAAAACATCTTTAGTAAATAATTTTGTTTGTATAAAGTATCATTTGTATAATCATCTGGCAAAATCCTGATATTTATACGAAATAAAAATAGTCTAGTCTAGACTAGATTTATTTTGTAAAATATACTATAAACCGTAATTTGTATAACTAGAAATATAATTTATAACTATAATAATTATGATCATGGCAACAAAGAGCATTTTAAAAAGAAATGTATTCGTGCATTTTTAAATATAAATTTAATAGAGGGTTGCCAAAATCTGGAAGCATGTATGGACGACATTATCCCAAATGAACAAAAATTATAAGTTTAGTATTTTAAAACGAACTAAATATATAACAATTTACAAATATATTATTAAGTTTCATTAACGTTGTGTCTCTTTAAAAAAAAGTCTTTTAAAGGATGCTACGAAAGATAAGTATGTTTTATGTATTGAGAGCAATGGGTTTTGCTGTTATATTTACTGGTTCTACCAGAAATCGTTTTCACATTAATTGGAAGACCATCATAATACAACTTTGAAGACAACACATGATAAACATTTTTTTTAATCCTTACCTAATTTATTTTTCATTATTTACACACAAGGAGCTATTCGGGTGGTTGCCTATGGGTGGTGCAGGGGCTTATCCAGCCGTCCGGCATAGCCCGACAACTTCATTAACGTTGTCTAATCTAAACTTTTAGTTTTCTTAAAATGTCTTTTTGCGTCAGCTAACTATCTGACATAAAGTTTTGGACCTGTGACTAAAACTATTAGTATTTACATTTAAAAAAAACAGTACAGTGAGGTCGGGGCATAGTGGGGACCAGGAAGGTCACAGGTTTGCTGGAACTTTTAAATCTGAAAGTGATAAAATCGTTTTCGAAAAAACGCTTCGATGCAAATCGGTAGTTAGTATTTTCAAGCCAGTACAATCCAAATCAAGCACAGTGTAAGCCAGCAAAGTTAGAAAGTATCAAATTGAATCGTTCGTTTCAAACACATGTATTTACAAATAAGCATCAAAGCGTTAATTTGAAAATGATTTTATGCGAGAGGACTAGTACAGTAGAGTATAGGTATAATGGAATCAAAGCATAGAGGGGACGGAGAGGTCACAGGTCTATAGGAATTATTATAAATAAAGGGATAGAATTGAATACAATAACTTAGATAAACGCTTTGATGCTTATTTGTAATTACAGTATCTCAATTTAATACTTTCTAACTTTACTGGTTTATACTGTGCTTGATTTGGACTGTACTGGCTTGAAAATACTAACTACCGATTTGCATCGAAGCGTTTTTTCTAAAGTGATTTTATCAGATTTAAAAATTCTTGTAAACCTGTGACCTCCCCGTCCCTACTATGCTCCGTCCCCACTATGTCCAACCCCGCTGTACTGGTTTTTGTTTTTTTTTGCAAAAACGTAGTGGACCAAATAACACATATACAATGTCTTGATAAATTTGGTTGGAATGGTCGACGATTCATGTTTCAACCATTTGTACTCCATAGTTACTTATTAGTTAAATACTTATAACGTTTATATCTACTAGGTGTCGGCTGTATCCTGTTACAGTTACATAGTTAGCAATAACTTTTTATGGAGATTTTAAAAATTGTGTTTTTTTAATAATAGTATAGGGGAGCAGTATCACAAAGTTAAATGTTCAGGATATTTGATCTAGTCATAATATAAAGTATTATCATTCATGTCTTTTAGTTATTATTAAAATATATCTTAATTTGAACATAGTAATAAAATAATAAAATATTTGATACCAAATCAGAGCTATAAGTTGATAAACTAAAAAATAGCACGAAGCAGATTATCTAATATTGGATAATTTAAACAATCAAGCGCGAGTATAACAATATGCAATACATTAGTGATCCTTTAAAAAAATTGTGTAATATGAATATAATTTTGGAACGGTAGACCGCATAAAAAAAACCACTTAATCTGGATCCAATAAACAACAGTCCTCTTCATAATTTGCTTATGTTATCAGTTATTATCGTCTGCTCGTTTCTCACTTCTGGTACACCGTGTTTGTAGTAAAAAATTAATTTAAAAAAAAATTAAAGTAAAATCTAAAAGTGGTACTTGAGTATTAAAACCTAATAGAATCATTCTGCATCTACAAAAAAATGTTTTAATAACTTGATACATTTTTTTTAAGATTTTAGGAGTTTTTGTTAAAGTATACGCAATCTGCGAAAACACAGTTTTCCGGAAATTAAAAAAAAACTGTAGTGCCGATTTTTTTTTTCGTTTAATATGTTATGGATACATATAAATACTAGCTACTGACAAATTTTCCACTTAAAGATCTTAAAATTACGGCTAAAAAACTAAAAAAACAAAATAACTTGTACCCCCCTTGTATATAGACACAAAAAAAACACACATCATAATAAAACCAATACCTTCGCTGCTCTGCATCGAAGCTAAAAGTAAGAACAGTGAGTAACTATTTAACATTGCTATGCAAGTACATGTTTCTATAACTTTTCACTGCTCTATTATATTAAATAATACATGGGATTTTTTTCTTACAGATTCAAATTTTTACCAACTACGAAATATGTGCCCCCAAAGCCAGTTTCATTCCCGTGTTGTGTATGGGATTTATCACTTGGATTACAGATGAGTTAGTCAAGTTATAAATGACGACGCCGTAGTCAAGTGGTCCATTGATCTATAACTGTTGATGATGATATTTTGTTCGGCACCTCATTTACGGTTATCAATGATTTCGACAGACGTAGTATTTAAATTTTTTTTTTGTTTTTCTGTGTTTTATTAAGTTGCGTTTGTAAATTGCATTTTTGCATTTCTGAAGATTGAGATAGTGGCGAAGATGGGCAAGACGAATAGGGCGCAGATCGTTTGTTTATAGGTTGTGATTGTAAGGTTTTTCCTTCGATAGGGGTCAGGATTTCAGGTGGATTATAAATATCCATAGGAGTAATTTTGGATGTATCGAAAGATTTCTTTTAAGGAGTTCGATAAATTCATGTACAATATTTTATATTTGATTGTTGTCTGTTGATGTAATGTTAATTTTTCAGAGTCATCTAACTCAGTTATAATTATTGGCGTGTTCAGTTTTAGTGTCATCCGTAACGAAAATTCTAAATTGTATGTCTTTATAATTACAATAGCCACTCCTTCTACTACAATATAAAATATGTATTATGATCATCATAATATACCTCAATTAGAACACTTATCCTATTTATTATTTCTCCTAGAAGCCTCGACGCGGAGTCTACAAAGGAATAATTTTTTTTTTTATTTTACAATAATTATTATTTTTACAATAATGTGTTTTTTTTTGTTTGGATAACTTTAAAAACACTGATCTGTTTTTTTTCGTATGTCAACATTATAGATAAAAAATTGTCCTTGTAAGGTACATTAACATGCATTTTATTTCAAATTTGACCCTTTTTCTTACAAATCGAGAAAAAGATTAAAAATACGTATACATTTTTCAACTTACATTAGTTTAAAATATGTATGAAAAATTGATTTGACATAATATTATTAATACCCTTGATTTTATCGTTTGAGTAAACAATACACAGTCATTTGGATTTGTATTTAAAATAATTATATTGCATAAGGTATCTCAAAATGTAACAATCAAACAATCATGTATATACATATATAGTTATTGATTATTTCACTATCAATGTAGGAACAGAATTTCTAAAATTAACTGTAACATAATTACTACATAATTACACCATTACTATGCTTGTAACTATTATATTTTTAATTAACCAAAAACTCAAACTTATTTTCCATAGTTGTTCTTCAATTATCATCATTTATTATAATCAGTAAATTGTAAAACTATTTGTACCTCAACACAAAATATCTTTATTGAGAAACGTTATTTGGCCATTTCCCTTAACTACATCAATTCCTTATAACCAATATATACATTTAAAACAAAAAAATTACCATTATGTTTAATAGTTAAAACGACATATCACGGACATATCGTAAAAATAAAATAACTAAAAAAAAAAAAAAGCAAAAAAGATTTTGAGGATTTATAAGAAATGAAAAAATTACCGAATTTGACAGGCATACTGTAGCACAAGTATGGAATGAAGTAAGCGAGAGGTATAACATTCATAAGTGTAAAGCTAGATAAATGGTTTTGTCGCAATTCCGAAAAACATCAATTTCCTTCGACAAGAATACTTAACGCAAGCTCATAGTTTAAATTCGTTAATTTTTCTTTTAGAAGATTAAAGCTATCCTTAAATTCTTGAAGATATTGCAGTATCATAGCATAGGTAAACTCGTTTATGTCAACACTGATCCAATCGCACCCATTTGAAGTACATCCATTTAACTCAACTAAAATTTCTTTGACTCTTACCGATATTCTAGGTATAATGCTATCAAAGTTGTTTTGGTGCTCATTTATTGCACTACGAAACTCTGCTACTACATCAGAATAAATTGTTTCAGTATAGTGCATAAACCTGTGTACCATATCAATTGTGTCCAATGCCTCTTCATACAAAAGTTTTAATTGGAAGAGATTCATTTTAGGCATTTCTTTGTTAAATATTACCAACATTACCCACATAAAGGTGTACATCCTCACACTGATAATTTGTTTAATCAACTTGTGATAACTTAAATGTCCGAAAGGTCGTAATATCCATTGGCGGTTTTTAATGTATTCCTTGGTTTTATTCACTTCGACTGCGTGACGTCTTATTGTTGGCCTCCATTCTATGGCTGAGCCTGTAATTTTCCTAAACAGTAATTCGTCTTCATCCCATAATGATTTTAGATACAAATAGTCGATCGATATGAATTGCATGATGTAATCATAATCTACAGCAATAGTTACAGATGTGCGAAGTTTTTGAAAAATGTTATATGCGACATTGGAATTTTTTGAAGCCAAATCAGACTCTGTTCTATTATTGGGAAGGTATTTATTATTTTTGCAGTATTTTAAGAAATTTGTAATATCACTTTGTAATTCCTCTTCTCCGAAAGGAGTTTTCCCAAAGACATTTTTGTTGCTCTCGTATTCAATGATTGCCACGAGTTTGAGAAAATAACTCCAAAACCATTTACCCGCTTTGACTTGGCCTCTTTGAAACATCAAGACCATAAGACCCGCTTCTTCTTTTAATTCGGTTAATTTATTCATTGCGACTTCTATAGCTCCTCCACTTCGCAACCCGTCCAGAATATTGGTCAAGTACACTAGTTTCGTTTTCACGATTGAAGAGCAAGTACATTTAATGTCTTCGATTTTCTTGTCAAATTTATCAAACACCATATTGCGAACTCTGGTATCGTTGGTAATCTGAACGGGAGTTGTCAGAATTGTAAGTTCTCTATCACTAAATTTTATTTCTCTCTCGTTGTAAGTGTCCAAGTTATTCACTGTATTAACGAATGAAAGAGAAAATGTTTTGTTAACAGAATATGACGGCGAAATCTATAAAAAAATATATATGTATTCAATGATAAACAATTATGTAGTCCTGTAAATATATTGTGGATAAATAGTGATACAGAAAACGTAAAAAGTAAATTGAAAGATATTTTCACCTCAAAACAATACGATATCACTCTTTAGTGTTAAAATAATATTTTATTTTTACTTATCCCTTTTTTGCATGGACAAATTGGAGGGTTTTTGTTATGATAGATGAATAATGATTCTATATACTTCCAGCCAACCTTCTAGTTATCAATCGATAAAAGGGGGGAAGCCAGGTCAGCTTAAATTTGGGTTTAATGCTATTGCTGGCTGGAAGCATGTTCAACTAATGTTTTATATAAATGTCTACTTTATCCGTCAGTTTATTGCTGAATTATAACAATTTAAAGTTATAAAAAAATGATAAAAAGTTGGGTCTTCTAAAATTTCTGAGTGTAAAAACGAACTTGATTATAGAAAATAAATTATAGGTACTTACTTTGCTTGTTGATCCAATCATCATAATGTTGACTGTTAGTATGAGATATAATGACAAAAAATTACAGTTGCGTGCGATCATTTTTAAAAAGGTTTACTACTTAAACGCAATTAGTTAAAATGAAGTTATGAATAATTTAGGTAAGCTATTTAAGTGCTGGGAATAACGTTTCATAATGGTAACTTAATATTGGTTCAGTCACTCAAAACATCTGTATCAAATAATTTTGTTTGTATAACGTATTTACTTAATATTTTAATTGTCTGGTAAAATCAGTATATTTAGACAAAATAAAACAGGCTATAGTTTATTTGTCGTATTTGATTTTATAATGTTTTCTAAAATCATGGCGTCATTTTTTTTGTTGTATGCATACGCTCTAAATACTAATATTGTTTTAGTATAACTTTGTAGTTAGTGAAATCTGAAAATATAGGAGAAAACAATTACCAAATACTCATTTAAGATACCCACGCAGGAATTAGAAAACATTGATATTCTATGATTATTTTGTTTTATATATCATAAAAATATATTTTATCAATATTAAATTTTTATATTATTTTACAAATAGTAAATGACACATTTAAAATAGTACAATGTATGAACACAGTTTGAGTTCCTATAAAGAGATGCAGTGCAAATAGGGAAAGAGCCTTAATTAAAGTTGGCGACTAGGAAATAGGGAGTGCATAATATGTGTATTGACCTAATCCAAATGAGATAACGATGTTGTCTTCAGGCTAAATTTCCACCACCATTGTATTACCATAGTTACCCATTTATTATAATTAGCGATATAATAAAAAAATATCATTAACTGTTGACTGTTGATTCCCTTACACGTAGCAAACTGTAATTTTTCCTTTTTGGGGGGATATCCTTAACAAAAAAAAAATTCAAAACAGATTTTGAGAAAATAATTGTTTATGGTATAGTTCCACCTAGATCTACCTTAGGTCTAAATTTTAGGCCTAAACCCCTAAAACTTTGCTTGAAACAGTGTAGTAAAAAAAAATGTATGAGAACATTTCAGTTATTTAAAATATATATAATTATATAAATTCAACTGTGTTAATCAACTACAAATAGTCATTATATTGTATTTGAATCGTTTAGAAAAATGTTAAAAGCCTTGTCCTATTTACAAGATGGATTTCTTTTGAAGATTTTACTTTTTATACTAAATTGAGATTTCATGTATAGGTAAAAAAAACACCGAAACTAATTATTATATGTAATAGATAATACCATTTATATTTTAGATAAAACTTGGGGAAAAAATGCAATACGTGTAAAGTACATAATATGTGCAAAGTTAAATACGTGATTTGGCCTTTTTTGTCACAATATAAGTTAAAGCCAACATGTAACAAATAAAAAAAATAATAAAAAATTCATTATGTAAAATAGATAATACGATTTGTGTTTTAAATAAAATTACAATAATGAATAAAAGAATGTCTCTAATTAAAATAATAAAAGACGTGAAACATATTTAAAGGGTTTTGTGAAAACTACTTTACTTTATCAGAAGAATAAAAAATGATAAAATAATTTATTTGGTCATTATACCCAAAACATTAATTTCCTTCGACCAGAATACTTAATGCAAGCTCATAGTTAAATATCGTTATTTTTTCTTTTAATTGATCAAAACTATCGCTAAATTCTTCAAGAAATTCTAATGTCATAGAATGGGTAAACTTTTTATTTATGTCAATCCTGATATAATCGCTTTCTTTTGAACTACTCCCGTTTAACTCCACTAAAATTTCTTTGACTCTTACCGATATTCTAGGTACAATGCTATCAAAGTTGATTTGACCTTCGTTTATTGCACTATGAAACTCGGCTACTACATCAAAATAAATAGTTTCGGTGTAGTGCATAAACCTGTGTGCCCTATTTATTGTTTGCATTGCCTCTATATACAAACGTTTTAGTTGGTACTGGTCCATTTGAGGCATTTCTTTGTTGAATATTACCAACATTACCCACAGAAAAGTGTACATCCTCACACTGATAATTTGCTTAATCAACCTGTGGTAACTAAGGCATCCAAACGGATTCGATATCCATTGGCGATTTTCAATATATTTCTTGGTTTTATTCACTTCGGCGGCGTGACGTCTAATCGTTGGCCTCCACTCTACGACTGAGCCTGTTATTTCCCCGAATAACAATTTGTGTTCATCCCATAACGGTTTTAGATACAAATAGTCGATCGATATGTGTTGCATGACGCTAACATAATGTCCAGAAATAGTTGTAGACGAACGCAAAGTTCGAAACATGTACATTGTTACATTTGAATTTTTCGAAACCAAATCAGACTCAGTTCTATTTTTGGGAAGGTAGTTGTTTTCTTTACATTTTTTTAAGAAATTTGTAATACCACTTTGTAATTCCTTTATTTCGAAAGGGGTTTCCCCAAAGAAATTATTGTTGCTCTCATAATCAATCATTGCCATGATTTTTAAATAAAAACTCCAAAACCATTTACCCGCTTTGATATTGCCTTTTTGAAATAACAGGACCATATAACCCGCTTCTTCTTTTAATACGTTTAGTTTTTCCTGTGCAACATCGATAGGATCACCTTTTTGCAATCCTTCTAAAATATTTGTCAAGTTGTCTAGTTTCGTTTTCACGATTAATGAGCAAGTACATTTTATTTCTTCGATTTTATTGTTAAATTTATCAAACACCTTATTGCGGCTTTTGGCATCGTTGTAAGTCTGAACAGGATTTGTTAGAATTGTAATTTCTTTTTCACTAAAATTTTTTTCTCGCTCATTGTAGGTTTTTAGAGCATTCACTGTATTAACAAAAAAAGGAGAGAATTTTTCACTTGTGTAATATGACGGCGAAACCTATAAAAAAAAAAATATATATATATGTACTTATATATTTTATAAAAATAAACAGTTTTTTTTAAAAATAAATTCTATATACCTATTAATTTTGAGAACTGTACTCGCTAAGTACATGCATATTTTTTTGTTGTTTTTCAACTTACGTATATGGAAAATTACTAAAAAATTTAAATAATATTATCTCAATTACCCTGTACATTAAGATATTTAAGTATTATAAGTATGGATAAGGTATGTTTATAATATTTATGTATAATTAACAATTGTATTACCTATTTAATTGTGTTAAATATATAATAACCCTCTATACTAATAGTTAAACTTCCAGTATTCAGACGATAAGAAGGGGGTCTGTAAGTTAGCTGAAATTTGGATATAATTTCATTGCCCAGTATTTTTTGTTTTTTGTGTTGGCTGACCTATTTCTTTTATCATTGTTATCTATAAAATCTCCGCAATAAATCGCTGTAAAGGTTTTAACGATACATTTTGTTTTATTCATTTATTTTGGTTGTTTCTAACGTTCTGTTTGTAACTATGGTGCGACTGAGTTTACAAGAACGCGTTTTGGTTGTTAAGACTTTTTATTGCCATAGTGAAAGTTATGCCTTAAGTTTCCACAAACAAAAATAGAATAATATAATTCTATGTTATACTATTTAGTATTTTGTATAACGTTTGTTAAATTGATAAAAAAGTATTATGTTTGGTTATTTTTTTTAATTATGTTATTTCTATGATATTTTTATAGAGATCTAATGTAGATTTAATTCAGGTTTTTTTATATACATTGTTTTTAAACATAAGTATGTTTAATGTTAAGTCAAAAGGATAGACTGAATATTACAAAAAAATAATAAAAAGTTCCTAAAATGGTCTAAATTATTTATTATTAATTATTTATTAACAAAATACAAATATATAAATATAATAATAATTGTAAAATTAAATTAAAAAGTTGATATTTTAATTAACCCTCAACTTGACAAGCCTCTAAATAGTAGAGTGAAAATTATAAAGTAGATATTTTTAGACTTTTTTGAGGCAGTTGAAACCAAAAATGTCATAAAAAAAGTGCTGGACTTGAAAGTTCGAAGTTATGAATTGTTTAATCTTTAATGAATCTTTAAAGATACATTGCCAAGAACTGATATTATAGTTCCAGATCTCCAAGGATACATTGCCAAGATACAGTTAATATTTTCGTATATACTGTTTTTAAACCTTCGGGATTTAGTAAAATTAGTCAAATTGGAATATATTGTACATGAACGTAATGAAAGACACTTGGCAATTTCGACAAAGTGATGAAACAAAATATAGAGATAAAGATGCGCTACATCATGGAGGTTCCTCACTTTACAAAAATTCAGCATTAGAACCATTGGTTGAATTTTATTTTATTAGTAAAATTTAGCGCTTTGCATCTGAAGAATGGCGCGTGGGAAAATTAAACATGCGAATTTAAACGTATATAGCAGCTAATATAATGCTGAAGATTATTTTGTATTATTTTATTCAATACATCACTTATATTTAAACAAACCACGAACAATTGAAGAATTTAAAGAAGAAATTTGTCGTGTCATTGGTGAACTAGGCCCGTAGATGTGTCAGCAAGTGATAGCTAATTTCGTGATCCGAACAGAAGCTTGCCAGCGAAGCTGAGGTGGACATATGCCAGATATGATATTCCACACTTAAATCGGAGAATATATACTACAGGTTGATATAATTTTTTTGTTCAAATAATTTTGTTTAATAAAGTACCTAATAACAAGATTAAATCCGGCGTTCTTAATGAAACACCCAATATTTAGTTGATTGTTCTCTATATTCCATACTATTAAAGACGATTTATTCGAAGAACTATGTTATCCAAATAATTTTTTAAACGAATATTGCAATAAAGGTTTTTTTTTAATTATGTTAACAATAAAATAAATAGCCTATGAAAAATAAGAAATTCAAAATAACTAGGAATTAATCATTTAATCAAAGTTTTTGTTTTTATTTCAACAAAAATTATTTGATTAAGAAAATGCATACGACGGGTAGGGTATTCGAACAAAAAATTTATTTTAATAACTATTTGGATAACGTATTGTCTAAATAATTTACAACTCTGGCTGGGAGCAAGTTTAACTAATGGTTTAGATAAATGTCGAATGGATCCGACCGTTTGTTTTTAAATTTTAACAATTTAAAGTTCTTAAAAAATAATAAAATGTTGGGTCTTCCTAA